TACAGACATTTAATTTTCAGTAGTTTTTCCACTGGTCCCTTTCCCTGCAAGACATCACCCAAGACATAGACATATTTTATTTTAAAAGCTCTCTGGATGATTCTCATCTTTACCCTAAGGTTCCAAATGATATAGGGAAGAAAAACTGGTCTCGGGTGGGTGACCTCCAAACCATATAGGGAACCTCCAAACGACATAGAGAAAAACAATCTCCCGACCTGACCTGCAGGAGTTCGTGTTCTCTAAAACTGAAGAATGAATTTTAGGAACAAACGGAGATTATGAGCAGAATATATTTATTGAGAGAAAGAAAGCTCCTGACCTGAGGGAGTGGGGGCGAGCGGGTAGTTCCCCTGGGAAGCTGTCTCTTCCAGGGATTTTTATACTGTAAAACCATGTGGGGCTAAGGTAGAGAGAATGGAAACTCGCTTAGGTGGGCAGGAGGTGGGACAAAACTATGGTCAACCAATGGGATTACAAGCACCATTGCTCAGGTAAAACTGATTAAATCCAGTATCAAATGGGAAAGCTAGTCACGTATGAATACGGAACAGGGTCTCTTCCTGTTGGGGGTTGGGCTAGTGACTCATTTGGGCTCTTTCAAGTTGATTGATACTATTTAGAATATCAATCCCTAATGCCCATCCCTAGGGAAGTATGTAGCTGTGCTTCCTCTTTTTGTCTTGGTCTTGAGATGTGGCCCATATAGGAGTGTCTGTCTCTTCCAAAAGTTGCAATGTCACCTTGTCTTCCATCTTGTCTCCTTGTGGGCCTGGCCCTGTCTGACTGCCTATAATATTTCTGTTTAACTCGGCTGCCTGCAACACAAACACTAATAGAATGGGAATTTACAATGCTGTCTCCCCTATTTGCTGCCCTCTCAGGACATCTTAATTATACAGCAATTATGTCCCACAATTCTCAAGTAACATACTGAGGGAAGAACCATCCTAGAATAGAGGGTTCCTTACATGTGGATGACATTTCACCATGCATACTTCCGCATATCCTCCTGAATTTAGTCACCATGCAAGTCTGTGCAGTAGGCTTGGCAGTGAGCACCACTCCCATTTTATAAATGAGCAAACCACTTCAGAGAGCTGCGTACCCCCAAGGTCACATCCAACTTCCTTTCATGAGGATGCTCCACCTTAGAATGCTTCTGTTTCAGTTTTACCCACCAGAACGGTTTAAGTGGACACACAAATTCAGTGAAATCTCAAGTTCTAACAGTTTCTTTAGTGTCTTCTGAAGATGAGCCTTAAGAGATCCGGATGCGCACTATGCACAAGGTAAAAAAGATGGGCAGTAGACAGAGCAATATAGCACACTGGGGAAGCAGACTCTTCTCTATATGTTAGGTCCCCTTTGACCTGTTCTCTTCCCTCACCTTCTGTACACACACATACCATCTGTAGTTTCTCACCATTCTCATCCAAATATCAATGTGCATTTATCTTCCCCCCCCCCCGTTTTCTTCACGGTTTAGAACTTTTCAGTTACAGAATTAAAATCCTGCAAGAAGCCATGTGTGGTAGTGTACACCTGTAATCCAGCATCCTGGGAGGCTGAAGCAGGAGGATCGAATGCAAGCCAGCTTGGCAATTTAGTGACTCAGCAAAACCATATTTAAAAATAAAAAAGGGGGGCCGGGGAGATGGCTCAGTGGAATAAGCGCTTCCCTGGCAAGCGCAAGGGCCTGAATTCAACCCCCAGTTCCACCCAAAAATAAAAATAAAAAAAATAAAAAATAAAAATAAAAAAGGGCCAGGGGCTGAGAATATAGCTTAGTGGCACAGTACCTGCCTGTCTGGCAAGTGCAAGGCCTGAAGTACCAAATATATAAATAAAGGGCTGGAGGGCCCGGAAGATAGCTCAGCGGAGTAAGAATGTGCTTGGCTGGCTGGTGAGATGGCTCAGTGGTCTAAAGCACCTACTTAGAACAAGTTTAGCTAAAGCACAGGGACCGCGGTTCAATCCCCCAGCACCACATGCCAGCCCCGCCCCCTGGTGGGCTGAGCTGGCCACACACACATACACACAAATAAATTTTAAAAAAATGTGCTTGGCAAGAACAAGGTCCTGAGTTTGATCCCTGGTACCACAAAGGAAAAAAAAAAAAAAAAAAAGCCTAGGGTTATAGCTCAGTTCAGAGGATCTCTGGGTTCAGTTTCTAGAATCACATACCCACCTACCCACCTCCACACAGAGGCGCACACAAGAAGAAAAGGGAAATAAAGGGAAATACCCTGCTAGACTCCATGTAATATATATGTTATCTATCTATCTATCTATCTATCTATAGATACACAGATATATCAGTGTCCCCTGGGGGCAGGGCCACCACGGCACACCAGGGATCAACCTGGCCTCTGCGCTCTGCCTCAGCAGGTGCTTCAGTTCACGGAGCTATCTGGTCGGCCCCCATGTAATATATTTTGTGCTGCCCTCTTCTCATGGTAGGTACAATGGTTTATTTTAGAAATCTGTGAACTCATCTTAGATTGAAAAAGATGGGTGATGGGCTGGTGAGATGGCTCAGTGGTCTAAAGCACCTAATTAGAACAAGCTAAGCCAAGCAAAGCACAGGGACCGTGGTTCAATCCCCCAGCACCACATGCCAGCCAGCTGAGCTGGCCACACACACACACACACACACACACACACTAAAAATAAATAGATAAATAAAATTAAAAAAAAAAGAAAAAGATGGGTGAGATGGTCCAATTAAAGTCTTCATTCTCAAAACGGTACTTATTCAAATGAGAGGTTAAGAATCACTCTACTGATGTCCATTTGTACCACAATCGTTTAGGTTTTGTGTTTTTCTTTTGAGAGGGGCTCACTATCCAGCTCAGGGTGGTCTTGAACTCACAGCAATCTTCCCGCCTTAGTCTCCCCTGTTGGGGGTCAGAGCTGTGTGCCACCACGCTCAGCTCTGACACATTTTTTATTTTTTATTTTTTTTGACACATTTTTTAAAAGGTACAATTCTCTGAAAGCAGTAACTTCAATATACAACACTTTTATTTTTGTTCCATTTTACAGTACTTAGGATTGAGCTACATCCCCAGCCCCACGTTTTATAACAGGCTTTACTTGGGCAACAGATCCCAGCCCCTTACGATCCTCCAATGCCTCTGGAGCCATGGGAATTACAGGCGTGGGGCCACCATGGCCCAGTGAACCACAGGGGGGTGCAATAGTGAGTTCAAAGCCAGCCTGAACTACAACTTCAGACCTTATCTCAAAAAACAAACAAACAGGGGCCTGCCCCTTAGCTCAGTTCTTTAAGTGGCTGCTTCAACAAAGCAGTCAGGCTCAGGTTGCTGTGGTTCGATCCCCACAACTCAAGCCAGCCAAACCTGTCCTGAAGGCATTCGGAGCAAAACAAACAAACAAACAAACAAACAAACAAGGATCAGTCTACTTCATTTGTATCTTCATTTGTATTATGTTTTGAGTTTCAGTCTGTGTGGTTGGTAATTAACGTTTTTCTGTGTGATCATCAAAGGCCTTTTCACGGTTTCCAGGACAAATTGTCTTTTCAACATTGGAGTTCTATGAAAAAAAAAAAAAAGACATCATCTGGCCAGGGAGATGGTTTTGCAGAATAAGAGCTTGCTGGTCAAACGTAAGGACCTGAGTTCAATCCCAGGTTCCACACAAAAATAAAACAAAACAAGACACCATCACTCTCACCAGCGGCATCTAGTGGCAAGCACAGGCATTTCCGCCCCGTTTTACAAGTGTACTTTTTTTTTTTTTTTTTTTGCATAATTTTACTGAGAAACAAATAGCAATGACAGTTTCAAACCAAATTGTTTTCAATAATTAACACATTGCATACATTCTTCCTAGTGATTATTTGCTGTACAAGATGCGGACATGATATCCTATTTACAAACACCATTAGAACAAATCTCGCTATTCATTAAGAGAATGTAACTATATATCTATCCTAACCATTTTGAATACACAGATACAAATTTGTCACCCAAGGATTCTTGTTTCTCCTGCTGAAGGGAACTGGTCCTCCTAAAAGCAAAACAATGGCAGTTCTTTGCAAATTTCATGTAGAAAAGACCTTCCAGTGTACAAGATATTAATATAATCGGTTAATATTTTTTAAATATTTACATTACTAGCGATCTACTGGTCAATGATAATGAATAGACTACAAACAAGTTTTCATTGTTGGTAAGCCTTTTAATCTGTGGACTTGTATGGACTTTGACTAATTTATATTACAGGAATTTTGCTTTTTCCTGAAGCAACAGGATAAACACTTATAGAAACAATTATGTATAAAGAGAAACTTGATACTGGTGAGGGAGGGCCTTACAATTAAGGCTGCCTGTGCCAAGACGATTGGCATTGCACGGGATGAAACAATCCTCCTAGTTGGCCCTCAACTTTTTCAGGCATGCTGAGAAACCAGGGCAATCTTCTCAACGTGCACCCTAACTTCGTCTTCACTTCCGGTTAAATCTGTGTGCAATGCACGAAACACTCCTCATTCCCAAACCCCTAGCCTGGTGTGGGGCTCCCTTAACAGCACCCATCACAATTGAAATACGATTTATTTCGGATTCTTTTCTGACAAAATATCGTGCTTACTACAAGAAAAACGAGCATACGTGAGTATAAATCATCATCTCTATTCCCACCACCCAAGAGAATTGTAAACAATTTAACATCCAGCGTTTTTGCCGTGTGGTGGTTGCATATACGCATCCTTTTTTTTCCAAACAAACAGCAAAACGGTTGTTCGTTGGCCCTCGGGCGGCTTATGCCTGGCTCTGAAGCGTCGTTGCTTGTTAACTCTCCGTCCACGCGTGCGCCGCCTCACAGCGCGCAGGAACTCAAGAGATGCGGCAACAGAACTTTGTACCGTGGAGGCCCACGACCGGGACAGAGCGACGTCCCAAGGGCTCCCAGAAGCCCCACCAGAGCCCTCGCGAGACCCGCACGCAGCGCCACTTACCGAGCCCCCCAGGGCACGGCGCCACCCCCAGAGGTGCTACGGCGCAGGCGCGGGCCGGGAGCGGAAGCGGAAGTACTGACGCGTCGGGCGCGCCGGGGCGACGGCAGCTATGCGTCGCTTGGAGGAACCGGGGCGTCGCCCCGCAGCGACCCCGTGCGGGTGCGCGAAGCCGACCTTGGAGACAGGTAACTTTGAGGAGAGGCATAGGCCTAGGCGGCAGTCCTTTTGTTGAGAGAAATGTGAAAGGCCAGATCTTGGACTAACGCGCGACACTAGCCAACTTACGGCAAAGGCACAGGTCACGTGTCACGGCGACCTTGTGACACGGGTGACGTCACCGCGCTCGTTCTGGTCTCCGCCCGAGCTGTGGGCTAGTCTTGGCGCCTTGGTGGCTAGAACACGTGCGGCGTAACGGCCCTTCTCCATAGAGAGATCTTTCTGCCAGAGAGGAGACAGGATGTGTAAAGCTAGGTGCTAGGTGCTGGCCAGGAATTAAATGCTGTAAGAAACATCCTGTGATGTGGGGAGTGAAGGAGAAGGAATGTTTTGGGGAAAGTGGTTGTAGTTTGGCCCTGAAAGATAGGCATACTTTGTGCGTCTTTATCACTCTTCATAGTGAGCAAAATATTTTAATTTTGGGAACTAGAGGAAGCAAAGGGGAAAAAGATAAAAATAGCTAGCCATCACCACGCTGTCAGTGTCTTGCTCTTTATGTGGCTTACGCTTTGTGCATTGTGTACACATTGGGAAAAAGAATATGCAGTTTAATAACGTTTTAAAATACGCATTTTACTAAGATTGTTACTAGACAGCGAACTTTAAGGGGTTGTATATACTACTTCGTTTTAGATATATGCTCTAATATAGGTAACCAGTTCCCTATTTTTTATTCCTTTAAATAGTTGCTAGTTAGCATGGTTTGCAATAAAGTTTTTGTATATGTTCTGTTGAACTTAAATTTTCAAGAAGTTGTTATTACCTGGTCAAAGGTTTTGCACAATCCCAGATTACAGGTACTATACTTTGTTTTGTTTTGTTTTGTTTGTTGGTATTGGGGATCAACCCCAGGGCCTTGTGCATGCAAGGCAAGAGCTGTACCATTGAGCCACATCCCCAACCCAGGTCCAGTATTTTGGTTTTTTTTCTTTTTAAAAGGGAATAAAAAATAGTCTTAAAAAAAAAAAAGAAGAAGAGGGCCTGGGAGATGGCTCGGTGGAATAAGCGCTTCCCTGGTAGATGCAAGGGCCTGAGTTCAATCCCTCCTTCTGCAAAAGAAGAAGAAGAAGAAGAAGAAGAAGAAGAAGAAGAAGAAGAAGAAGAAGAAGAAGAAGAAATAATAATGATACAGAATTTTGCTAAGCAGTGCACATTTCATTGTCTTTTTTTTCTTTATATCAAGAGAAAAGATTTCTAATGTGCTAGACAACCTTTGAAGGTAAATTAGCAGCATGACTGATATAGCCATTGCTGTCAGTCACCTTCAGACAAAAATTAATAGCTTTATGATAAAGTTTGAATTACTTTGCCTGTGTTTTATATATTAAAAATATTGAAAGAATGTCAAAAAAAATTTTGCTAAGCAAAATAATAGGAATTCAACAGTGGTTGTTATATTGCATATTGTTGTCATTAAATTAGATGTTAATTTACCAGATATAAGCATGCAAAATTGGTCAAGAAGGTATAAAAAAATTAAAAAGGAGAGAGAAAAGAATTTAAGCATTAACTGCTCCTTTCAATATACCAGTGGAAAACAGCAGTGCAGCTATCCAAGCTATCCTGTGTATAAACATATGTATTTATTTTCCCCTTCTTTCTTTTCTCCTTTTCCTCATCCCTGTAGTTTCTTCTCTTTGAACAGTTTCTTTCCCTGTCACAGTAGCTGTTGTATCTTTCAGGTTTTATTTACTATTTCAGAGTCTTACACTAGCAAGACAGTATGATGTTTACACATGTGAGTCTGATTTATTTCACCTACGAGTATGATCTCTAGTTGCATTCCATTTATCTATAAAAGCCTTGAGTTTATCTTTTTATAGTTGAGTAGTACTCCATTGTACAAAAGTACACATCTTTTTTTAACCATTCCTCAGTTGATGGACATTTGGGTTGTTTCCAAGATTTAGCTATTACAAATTGCATTACTATAAACATGGTGTACATATATTGCTGTGGTGTGATGTTTTCTGTTCTTCTGGAAAAATACCTAGGAGAGAAGTAGCTGTGTTGAATGGGGGCTCTTAAACCTAGTTTTCTGAGGAATCTCCACACTGATTTCCATAGTGGTTATAGCAATCTATGCTCCCACCAACAGTGGGGAAGGATTCCTTTTCTCCACAGCTCCTCCAGCATTTGCTATTGGCTGACTTCTTGACAGCCATTCTTTGTGGGGTTGATGGAATCTCAGTGTTATCTTTGTATTTCTTTTTTCTTTTTTTTTGGTATTTTAGGGAAGGGTCTACAGAGTGTTCAGGGTCTCACTACTAGATAGGACTCATAGTGATCTGCCTGTTTACAGCCTTCCAAGAGCTGGGATTACAGGCGAGTGCCACCATGCCCAGTCTCAATTGCTGTAAATTTATTTAAAAAAATAAATAAGGGCCAGTCAAATAGCTCAGCAGATTAAAGCACTTACAAGCAGGCGCAGGAGCCAGGGGTTTGTTCCCCAGACCTGCCTTGCCTTCTCAGCCCCCAGGGCATGCTCAGAGGGCAGTTGAGACCAGGCATGGTGGTATGTGCCTGTAATCCCAGCTCTTGGGAAGGCTGTAAACAGGTAGAACACTACGAGTCTGATCTGGTAGTGAGACCCTGAACACCCTGTAGACCCTTTTCCAAAATACAAAATAAATAAAAGAATCCTTTTTGTTTGTTTGTTTGGTACAAGATCTCACTGTGTAGCTTGGACTCATAATGATACCCCTGTCTTAGCCTCCCTAGTGCTGGCATTGTAGGCATGTATCACCATGTCCAGTTTTGGGCCAGCATGGTGCACCCAGGGTTCAGGGTGGCACAGCATGTGGTACTGGGGATCGAACCCAGGTCCTTGCTCTTGCCAGGCAGGTGCCTAGACCCCGAGAATATAGAGATAGATTCCAGAAGAGTTCAGGTGTCTGTATTATGTTATCTCTTCAAAGAATTTAGTAATTCCTCCTGAAATACAAGGGAAAAAGTTCTAAATTCAGAATGTGATGGGCACAGTGGTGCAGGTCTTGTAGTTACCAAACTTGAGAGGCTGAGGCCAGGAGTTTCAGGCCAACCTAGCAACATAGGGAGACCTTATCTCAAAACAAGCCAATAATTTCAATAGTTACATAATACCTAGTAGATTTAAAACTGAAATTTATACATTAGAGAAAACATTTTTTAAAAAAATATATCTTTGACCTTTTGACTAACGATTTCTTACCTGATGTTCTTCTGTAGGGAATCTTTTAACTGAGCCAATAGGCTACTTGGATTCCTGTTTCTCAGTCAAGAATGGAACTCCACGGCAGCCATCCATTTGTTCCTATTCACGGGCCAGTTTGAGGATTAGAAAGAGCATCTTTAATAATCCTGAACATTCCTTGATGGGCTTAGAACATTTTTCTCATGTTTGGTAAGTTATTTTTATAGTTAGAAGTGATACTTTGGGCTAGAACTTATCCAGTTAAAGCAGCTTTGGAGTCTGCCATCTGTACCACGCTTGTCTGTTGTATGGAATTTTCATACTGCGCTTGCATGTGTGGTTGCCAGCATCATTTCAACACCTTCAGGAAAGAGTGGATCCACTGAAGACATATGTTTCAGTTGCAGTTGTTTCTAGTTGTGAGGAATCCTTCTTGCTGAGTGGAAACTGTAGACCTCCCTGATTCTGCCCGTAGGTTATTATGCTAGCTCCAAGAGGAAGAGTCCTCAATATGTAGAGCCTGTGGACCAAGTAGGGTGCACTGGGTGCTTTTGTACCTTAGTTTTATAGGACCACAGCCGTGTCCATTTGTGTATGTGTTGTCTGAGGCTTGCACATTTGTTTATGTGTTGTGCAACCCGGCCGCAGTAGCAGCGTTGAATAGTAGTGATTGTTCTCAAATCCGAAACTATTTCTGTTCTTTTATAGAAAAAGGTTGTAGACTCATGAAAAGTTAAGTGCACTGTTCCTAAAAGACAAGAGACCTTAGAAATCTAGATCCTACTGCTATGAAATGGAATTGTGTCCGTTTTTTCTCACCCTTAACATTAGCAGTCTGAATTGGTCTCATTTTACTGGTGGAGACCTCAAGTTAGATTAAGATTTTATTTTGAAATAGGTTTTCAGAAAAAAGAAATAGGTTTTCATGTTAATTTGAGAATATAGGTAGATTTTAAAAAAAAAGTGACTTTGTATGATGTTGGTTGAGTTATATAAATTAAAAAACATCGGGGCTGGCGAGATGGCTCAGTGGTCTAAAGCACCTACTTAGAACAAGCTTAGCAAAGCACAGGACCGCGGTTCAATCCCTCAGCACCACATGCCAGCCAGCCCCCTGGTGGGCTGAGCTGGCCACACACACACACACA